ACTACTTAAATTAGACAATGACTAAAGTTGTACATGTGGCTTGTTGTACACTCTTCATGTAACTGAAAACTGTAGGGAAACCCCATGTAGGACCTCATATATCAAATTAATAAAAATCGCCCGGTCATGTAAGCTACCTTAAAAATCAAAAAAAAAAATTTAATTAAAAATTTTATTAAATAAAATAGATTGGGTTTAATATTATAAAAAACCTTATATTATTGCATCACTCAATTCAAATCTTTCCAAAATTCTACAGATTTGTAGCATGCAGCACCAAATAGTATAAATTGTGCTGAAGCAGCACATGCTATGAGTAATCATAAAGACAAACAACTAAAACTAATGACAGCAATATTAAGGTTTGTTTATATAATTGTATATATAATATATCTATTTTTTAATAACAATTACTATTGAATTTTTTTTAGAGGTCGAAAATTAGATATTCACAATTTTAAGAGAACTGATATAAAAGCTAATTTTAATATTAATACATCTGATTATGATAAAAGTAATATTGCAAGAAAAAAGTTAGCAATTAAACGAAGTAGTAAGTATTTTTTTAATTTAAAAATTTTTTTAATATTTTTATTTATTAAATTATATTTTTATTTGTAAAAATAGCTAAGCGACAATCTAAAGCTAGTTCTTCAACAAAAAGACAAAATAAATTATCATCATTTCAAATAAATAAAAAACAGCGAACATCCTAAGTAGTCGATTTAACTGACGATACATCACAAGAATCTCAAAAAATCAATTCAAGTAATAATGAACTCAAAGAATCTGGTATGACAATTATGGAAAAATTAGAATATGAGGAGCACATGTTGATAATCACAAAACATAAAGAAAAATTAAGAGAATTACGAATTTCTAACGCTATTAAAGAGCATGAACTTAGTATTAAATAATATTAAATATATAAATATTATTTATCGATATTTGAGAAAAAATAAAGTAAAAAAGCATTTGATGCTTAATATTAAACTTGTTTAGATATGTTACCAGTAAAATATCAGTTTAAAGCTGAATAGATATGCATTGAATTGAATAAAATCTATTGTTATACAATATAATTTCGATTACTTTATTTTATATTACTAAGCACTGCATTATTCTATTTACTGTATGATCAACTATTAATTACCATTTTTCTTATTATCATTATGTAATAGTAAATACTGATACTGTTCTGATTAAAATAATTAATTATAGTCGATAAAAATAATATACAAACTACTATAACTGACTCAAATTTTTTTATACAGAAATATATACTATACGCTTTTTTTAAAAAAATTTTTTATACATACATGTATGTTATACGCTTTTTCTTTTCTATTAACCTATGCTACATCTTTTATTGTATTGACTATACGATTATATACAATACCTGAGTAATTACGTTAGGTCTATTCCTAGTTTTGTACAACTGTATTGCAATTACATATACGTATCATATTAACTGCCTAAGAAAACTCTTGTTATACGCATGTATCATAATAACTACGTACATAAAAAAAAATAATAATAATGCATAAGACAACTCTTGTACTATGTATTAATATTAAAGATATTTTTAATTTAAAATTTAGTGTTTCCATATAACTTGTGGGAAATTATAGGCATCTCTCACGGGAGATATAAAACTTAAATATCTCTCGCATATTAACTGATAAAAAAACGTGAAAATCACATGACTCTAATTTATGGTGTACTGTAATAAGACTTAATAGCAGAGACTCTAGAAAATTGCAGTATCATTACACAAATATTGTTTTTTATTACGATATCAAAAAAAAATATGTTAAATTGCCTAAATTTTTTTATGTTATATGTTCGGAATGTTTTGGCTGACCTTGAGGTTATAAAAGAGACTATTCCAAATAAGGGGGATGTCTAAAGCAGGGGCAATTCATATTTCTTAATAATTTTCTTGATTAACTTTAGGGTTAGGTTAGGTTTTTAGTAGTTATATGTAAACAAAATTGCCTTCTCGACATTTTTACTTAACTTACCTGAGGTAGATTTAGACTGCCGCTCTTTGTATTTTTTAGATTTTTCATTTTTGTTTCTTGTTTTGCTTCACCAGTGATTATCAAAATTAATTACACTTCTTCAGGTACACCAACAAATTTTTTATGCTCATGTGCTGATCGATATAAATTAGCTAATCAAAATTAACATACAAATACTACAGACTACTAGACTAAACAATAACGATAAAAATTGTTTTTTACAAAAATTTCATCCGCAATTAGTATTCAAAATTTATTTTATACAAATCAGCTAGATAAATTTTTTTTTTTACTCACTAGTGTTAGTTTTTTTTTTTTAATAGCATCGTTGCTACTAGTACCTCTTAGTTATTATTTGCTAGTGCTTCTTTGATAATTATTTGTTGGTGTTTCTTGGTTATTGTTTGCTAGTATTTCTTGGTTATCATTTGCTAGTATTTTTTGATTATCATTTGTTAGATACTTCTTGATTATTATTTGTTGATATTTTTTGGTTGTTATTTCTTGGTTATTATTTCTAGCTATAATTTCTTGATTGTCATTTATTAGTACTTCTTGGTTATTATTTGCTAGTGCTTCTTGGTCATCATTTGCTAGTGTTTATTAGTTATTATTTGTTGTATGCTTCTTAGTTATCATTTATTAATACTTTCTAGTCGTCATTTCTTAGTTAG